GACTACATATAGGGGAACAAACTACCGAAGGACCGGGGCTCCCGAACGGCCTGGAAGTCCAGCGGTATTCGTGCCGTCGAGCAGCCGATTTTAGTTCCAGGCGCTCGACGACCAAATACCGCTGGGCTAACAAAGGATCCAAGATGGCTGACTGCCGCGTGGTCGGTAGCCGAACGGCGGCCACCCTGAATCTCAATAATTACCGAAGGATACATTGTTGCAATACTTAATGGGAGCCACACGACCTCCTGTGTGTGGTCTCCCATTCGGTAGTTTGTTCGTTTCACGAAAAGTGTTGAAATTCACTGTTCATGAAACTACTGTATTAATGCTGGTGGCTTTCCTGCCGCCAGCATACAAATGCTTTCGTTCGCACAATATACAAGTACAGGTCTTCACTTGGTTCTAAATAGTCTTAAAGGGATATCATCCCATTACATAAAAATACATTCTTAAGTGGCTAGTTTTGCCACAGGCACTTTTAGAAATGTGTTAGATTCAATCCAATGTCCTCCTTTGCGTTCTCTAAAAACATTGTTGGGTACCAAAATACCATGTTTAAATTCCGTCAATGTCAACTCTGCCTTTCATCCTTCTGAGGTCGATTAAAAAGTGCCGGTTAGTTGGACAATATTACCAATACCATCAAGACACCAGTCTGTATCTGAGAATTAGTGAAAGGTAAATGTAACTTTCCTAGATAACCGCTATATTACTAAGCGTATTGTGTGCATTATAGGTGGTCGGCCCTAAACGACATGCAGGGAAAGTGACACATTCCTATCGTTTTGGTCCTTTCTGCAATTGCTGCTATTGGTTACTGCGCTGTATGTTTTATTTTATACATTTTGGTAAATGCAACATCCACAATATTTCTTCTATTTGCTACAAGGTCCAAAATTATCCTTCATCCAAATCAATGCAGCATGACAAAGCATTTAAACCCTTGCGAAGGGCTTGGAGCTAAACACATCCATTAGCTCTATGTGGCCCTATTTATTATTCAGCCAGCCCTCTGTCATTTCACATCTCTCTCAAATATACATAAAAAGTGTCAGCTCTAATAAGCTGACAGTCTTCACAGCATCAAGGATATTGAAGCTGCTACATTCCATTACTATAGCATGTATAAAGCTTTGTAATCCCTCCTTAAAACACTCACTACACCGTGTAACCGCTTACAAAAGCACTTCCTATTTCAAGACATACTTACCTAT